TACCTTACTGAACTCACTTATTAGTTCTAGAAACATTATTGTAGATTCTTTGCGATTTTCTATGTAGACCATTATGTCATTTGTAAATAAGGACAGTTTTATTTCTATATGTCTTTATATCCTTTTCTTGATGTTTTAACTGTTTACCATATCCAGCATTAAGCTGAATCAAAATAATGAAAAACACCCTTGTTTTGATCCCATTTCTAGGAGGAAAGTATCCACTTTTCCATCATTAAGTATAATATTAGACGGAAGGTTTTGTAGATGCTCTAACACAGAGCCTTATAACTGGGTTGAGGGATTCTCTAGCTGGAATCACTGACTCACTGATTTTTCTGACGTAGAGGTTAGGATGTTAGGAATGGTTCTGTTTAGGTCAGCGATAGTTACTAGATTGAATATTTCTTAGCATTTCAATTTTTTTGAAAGTGAAATCACTTTGATTTACCAAGCATACACTTCTCACCACCATGTTAGAAGCAAGTAAAAACATACAAACCTCCTACTTTGTTGCTGGGCTTTGGGACTGCAGCTACCTGTTTGGGTTCAGGCTTCAGGTGCCTGGGATGCACTGTGTCTCCACAATAAGGAGGTAGTGGTTGAGTTTCTGGTGTGGTATGCAGGAAGCTCTGCTCATCCCGTATGCTAATGGTGGCCCTTAATTTTTTTCTCCTCCTTTTCATCCCCATTTCAGTATATTAGAATAAAGAATCATAGTTTGCTGCATAATATCTTTTTCTTTTCAGATATGATTCCATTTTCCTTTCTCCTTTTTTCTCCCTCTTGCCTCACGAATTGCGTAGATCTTTTCTCTGTCCCTTTCTCTCATTCTTCTACATTCCCAACATGTGTGTGTGTTACACTTTGTAGTTGTCACACACTTATTGGATATTGTTTCTTTTTTAAAATCTTTTACTCTTTGCTTTTCAGTTCTAAAGAATTCTATTGTTACATTGTCTAGCTCAAGACTTTTCCAATCTACTAATGTAGTGTCCAATCTACTAATAAGAACATCAAAGTAATTTTTCATTTCTATTACAGTGTTTTTTCCTCTAGCATTCCTTATCGGTTCTCTCTTAAGATTTCCATCTTGGTGCTTATCTTGCCTATCTATCTTGGCCGTCATCTACTTTATCCATCAAAGCCCTTAAAATATTAATCATAGTTGTTTTAAATTGCTGGGCTGATAATTCCAATATTCCTATCTGACCCTGCTTGTTGTCTTCAAATATGTTTTTTGCCTTTTGGTATGACTTATATTTTCTAGATAGCCAGATATGATGTACTGGGTAAAAGAAGCTACTGTTAATAGACCTTTATTAATAAGTTGGTGCAATGTAGGGGGAGAGGAGTGTTCTGTACTCCTATGATCCCATCCCTGTTTTAGTAAGCCTATGCTTCTAGACTTTGAACTTCACGACTGTGTTTAACCATTTTTTCCCTTCTGAGGAATCAGAGAATGGCCAGACTAGGCTGGAGTTGAGCATTTCCCTTTTCTAGGTCAGTTATTCCCTGGTAATATCGCAGCAGGTTCGGCTCTGGTTCACGCGTTTCCCCTAAGGGCAGACCTTGATAAAAAGAACAGAGTGCTCTTATCTATTTTAAAATGGTTCCTTTTCCTCTCTCCTTGCCACAAGCCTCTGAATTTTTCTTTGGGAAACTGATTGAACTCCTGGAGGTATTTCACAAAATTAAAAGATTTTGTTTTACTGGGTCCTCCTGGAATTTTTGAGTCTCTGACCTGTCCACACCGAGCCTCCAGCAATCCATCAATTACAGTTCGGTTTTTCCTACTGGGCCCTGGTCTGTGTGGTGGTTTCTGCTTGTGAATCTCTGCTCCAGAAAACAGTGACTGTGTTAGCCAGTCTTTGCAATCTTGAGCACATTGGTTTGCCCTGGGCCCTCCCATCTCTTTCTCATGAATCCAAGAAGAGTTGGTGATTTTTTAGTCTGTTCGGCTTTTTACTTGTTGCTAGGCCAGTGTGATCACTTCCAAGCTCCTAAAACTGGAAGTCCCTACAATATACATCTTAAATTAGCACCACATCTTTCATAGTCATGCTAATTTAATATCAATAAAATACAGAAACTATCTTCTAACACAGAGCTGCTTTTTCCTCTGTTCTTTTGGGCTATTACTGTCATGTAGGTTATGTCTATATATGTTATAACCCAACAATAGTGTGTTATCATTTTTGCTTTATGAAATCTTATGTCTTTTTTTCAAATAAGAGGAGAAAGGTGGAAAACATACTTATAGTGTTTTATATAATTGTAAATATTTACTATTTCCTGTGCTCCTCCTATGGGTTTGAGTTACTGTCTTGTATCATTTCTTTTCTCTAGAATAACTGCATTCCTACCTCTTCTTTAGCTCACATTATTATGTATATTATAACTAAAAGACTAATCCTGACAATAAAAACTGAAATTTATTGTTTTATGCAATTTTCTTTTAAATTAAATAGGAGAATTAAAATGATAGGAGACTATCATTTATACTTATTTTTACACTTACCTACATATTTGCCTTTATCTGTGCTCTTTATTTCTTTATGAGCAATTAAAATGATAGGAGACTATCATTTACACTTATTTTTACACTTACCTACATAATTGCCTTTATCTGTGCTCTTTATTTCTTTATGAGCATTCAGATTAATATCTGAGACTTTTTCCTTTCATTCTAAAGAACTTCCTTCAGTGTGTCTTGTGAGGTGGAACTTGCGGCAATGGATTTTCTCACTCTCAGTTTATATGGAAATGACTTTATTTTACCCGAGTGGAACATTGTTCTAAGCAGCTTCTAGTTTAGGCAAAGGATTAATGGGGGAAAAAATCGATGTGTCCCTTAGAATGAAGATTACCTCAGACCCTGAGGTGTGGATGGAAACCATGGCTGTGTGATATGGCAGCAGGACGAGGATCCTATGTCAGATCACAGCCATTCGGAAAGACCTGGAAGAGTGCATGAGCCGGCTAGGGTTGCTGGAAAAAAGCCCCACAAACTGGGTAGCTTTAAAAACAGAAATTGAGTGTCTCACAGCCTTGGAGGCTAGCAGTCAATAATCACGTGTCAGCAGGATTATTTCTTTCTGAGTGTGGTGAGGGAAAGATCTGCTCCAGGCCTCTCCCTGAGGCTTGTAGATGTATCGCTCTGATCTCTGCCTTTGTGTTTACATGCTATTCTTTGTGTGTGTGTGTGTGTGTGTGTGTGTGTGTGTGTTTACAAATATCTCTCTTTTATAAGGATCCAAGACATAACTGGATTAGGTCCACCACAGTGATCTGATTTTAACTTGATTATCTTGTAAGATCCTATTTCCAAAAAGGGCCACATTGTGCAGTACTGGGAGTAAGGACCGCAACACGTACGATATATGAATTTGTGTGCGTGTGTGGCAGTGATGCAATTAAATGCGTCAGAACCGGTCAGGCGTATTTTTTAATCAATGAGTTTGTTATTCATTAATTCTTAAATTTGTAAATTTCTACAGTTAAAATGCAGACTGTAGGAGACCATCATTTCGATTAAGAATCCTGTCTCGCCCTGTGAAATGTCTAACTCTAGCAGAGCTCCCAAGTCTGTCCCTCAGACTCGATTAGAAGAAAATGTAGGAATTTAGATATATCAACTTGGAATGGAAAAATATTTGTTAGAATGCTTAGATTTGACAATATAAAAATAAAAATAACCTGGTAAAAGTTGAATAAACAAATTTAAAAGATACAACATATATGAAAATATTATGTACTATATGTGTAAAACAGGCAAAGTAATATTTATGTTACTAAAAGAATTTTTATAAAGAAACAAGAAAAAGACAGTCTATTAAAGTGACAACACAAGAACAAGTTATTCAAGTGCCTTAGTAATCAGGAAAATGCTAATGAATACCTGAAGAAAATGTTTTTGAGTTATCCAAAATATAAAGTATTGCTAATAGTGTTAACCGAGATTTAGGGAAATAGGTTTTCCATATCCTGTGGCTCACAGTGTAAATTGTTAGAGACATTTTAAAGGGCAACTTTTTAATACCTATAAAATTTAAAAATAAGCATATCTTTTGACAAAGCAATTTCCCTTCTAAGAATAAGAAAAAGAAATATATAAAAATATATACTGGATATATGTACAAATAAACATATATGTATATATGTACGGTGAATTATGATTTAGATTATGATAGCTAAGACAGGTAAAAAATTTAAATACTATCAATAGGTAAGCATATATATTAAACTACTATACAAGAATAGTGTGAGGTTTTTGTATAGGCGTGAGTACAACATGAATTGTATTAAATACAAAAATAAAAAGTTCCAGAAAAATTCACACATATTGATCTAATTTATGTAAGAAAATCAGGTAGATATTTATATGAACATCCTTGTAAATGAAAAGAAATGTGTTTCTCAGGACACATTCCAAACTGTCATCATGGGTTAGTGTAGGAGTTGAACAGGAAAATGAAAGGAAGTGGAGAAAGTCGGCTATGAGCTATCAGGATTATTCGACACATGTAGTATCTAGTCATTTCCAATGAGAGAGGATTTGTGTATTTCTTGGGTAATAATAGAAATATTACAACATGTATTTTAAAAATTAAATTAATATCCACACATTTGCTGCCCTTTTACAGTTTCCCCCAAATCATCTGCATCTTAAATGCGTGTGCTACACGTAAGCAACAAAGAAAATTGCAAATTACTGGAGGATAAAGAAATCAGATTCTGAAGTTCATTTCAGATTTGGAGAGGTTGGAAAGACTAATATGGGTTCAACGGAGCAAGTCTAGGGAATAACCAAATGGTTGTTCTCACTTGTTTTAGTGAGACTGAAGCAGAAAGCAACATTTGACTAAACAAAGAACCATGACAAATTCTCATTTCCTTTCCTTTTCATTACAGGTTTACCACTGTGGTTATCAGTTTTTCTGTAAGCTTTTTAGTTTCTTCAATAGCGTAAATGCTTCTTGCTCATCTTTGTTCTCCTTTCATCCGTTGCTGTTTGATTTCTTCACTATCTTCTCTTCACTTTTTCTTCTATCGGGTTTTTCTGCACATTCCTGTGCAGTGGTCTCTTTAGATGGTGTTGCTGTTCCCCTCCCCCACCAGGGAGATATTGTACAGGTGCAGCCCCCTCCATCCCACTGTGTGTCTCTCAAGATGCAGTAGTAGGCAGCAGAGTCTCTCAGGGTGACCTGGGCCAGGATCAAGGTACTGGACTTCCTGTCTGTGGCGATGATCAGAGACGTCATTCCATGGCTCACATTGCCTTTCAGACCCTGAATCACATACTCTGGACCCTGGCCGGGAATCTGTCGATACCAGTGTATGTACTCAGTTCCACTGATTGTGGGGTGGTTACAGGGCAGGTGCACGGGTTCTTCTTCAGTACTCTCCACTACATCCGGCTGTGTGGACTTAGCATCACCCATGATACCTTGAGAGGTTGATAAACAATAGATTAGCTCTGGAATGTCAAATCTGGGTGCATCTAAGTTCAGTTTCATAAACAATCCTAAAACCTTCTTCTCTGACTGTAGTTGTACTGAAGCATTTTCAGGTGTGTTTCACAGGACAACAGAAACTTTACTGCTTTTTATTCCTAAATATTTCAGAGACACAAGGCCAAAGATAAATTGCTATATTCCAGGACCCTTGGAATCAATGAACCTGCAAATCCTCACAGCCTGAGAGCTATGGGGCTCAGGGGATCTTCTGTGAGGAGTGGATATGATAAACTTCTCCCAATGATGCTCAGATACTCTAGAGAAGCACACAGTCACATAGACACATAGAAACACATAATGTTATTTCCCCCTAGTGTTTGGTAAAGTGCAGGGGGAGAAGTAGAAGCAGGAGATACTTGCACTTTGTCTTCAGTCCCAGATCACTTACCCAAAATTAGGAGAATAGTTATTCCTGTCAACGATCTCATACTTCAAGTGTAATCTGGGGCTCCAGGCCTCAGAGCTCAGGATCTGTGTCTAATCTTCCATTTGCGGAGGTCCCAGCAACCACACAGCAGTCACTAGCACAGCCTCGAACAGGAAGCTCTCAGAGGGTGTTCCCCAGGCAAACATCAGCTAAAGATAGAGCAGTCTCTTGGTTGGCTCTACTCCCACCCCCAGGATGAAACATCAATTTATAAAGAGGGTAAGGAAGTTTTCCCAGTGTCTAGCCCTAATTCAGGGGATTGACACTGAGATTAGTTTCAAGCTTCAAACTCAAATAGTCTATGTCTGAGTGAGTCTGAATAAATAAAATCTTCCGCAGGTGGTCAACCATCCCTCATTTGTGGTACACGGCAAATCCCACCACTGAACTGGTATGAAATGTCCTTTAATCCAAGAACCTGATGCTGAACCTTTGACTACAAGGGGAGAAGGGAATTCCTTTCTGTATTCCCAGCCAGAGCAGCAAGTTACAGGAGGAGGTATACATAATTTAACTTCCATAGTTAGAAACTCTTTTCTGATTTTTTAAAAAAGACCATAAGCTGAGTTAAAATCCATTGACCCTGTGGAGGACAATATTTTCAACATATTCATATATATATATATACACTCATAGTTTTACATTACTGCTGTGTTCAGTCTGATAGAGAGAGATGAAATTAGAATGTAGTTTAAGCGCCATGGGGCCTGGTACTTGGGCTCCCACACAGACTCTGCGAATATTGTCTTAAGCATCTTCCCCATGGACATCGTCGGATGTCTCTGGTCTCGATAGAGGAACCAGTGACTTGAATGGTACTTATTCCTATTCAACTAGAGACCCTCTTCAACACATATTTTCTCATCTCCACGCCCATGCCGAGCGGTCATATGCATTGAGGACACTAAGGAGAAAAGGAAAGAAGGATAATAGGAGAAGAGAAGATTTGGAAAGGGAAATAAAATGAAGACATTTGACAAGAGAGGTGGAGATCACCATAAAGAATTTCCCTGGTTATTCTCAAAAATGGATGTTATTAACAAAATAGGAAGTATAACATTAAAATTATTTGTTTCTCTTCTATAAGAACTAAGCTTTTTATTCCACTATAGCAACAATATTTGGCCATTTCAAGTTAAACTCTTAATCACGTCTGACTTCTATTCCCACGAAGAGTCTGCCTTTGGTCTGCATTTGGGCAGGGGCTTACTCATGTCCTTGAAGCTGTGCCCACACTCAGTGTGAGATTATGAAGTACAAGACGACAAAGGGGATGAAAGTAAGTTCTTTCACAACTCAATGACAAGCTGTCCCTCACCCTGGAAGGAGCTTTGCTTTTTGGTGTCACAGCCCCCTCTTGCGACTGTACCTATAAACTCCTCTACTGAGAACCAGGACGCATCAGTCAGCAAGTTTGTGTTTCAGGCTTAAGGATAGATATGTCACATCTGCTACTTCCCTCTGGTGGCAAGGCTCCGTGAAGGGCTACCTACTACTGAATTTTCTTCAGTCACTTGGGAGTTTTGGAACTCTTTCTGTGATGGTTTTCTCAAGGAATCGTTTTAAAATCCCCCTGAATCAAATTCCTTTCACTTTGTTACTCTCTTGTTTTCTCATGTTGGAAGGCAGTTCCCTAAGTTGACATTAGTCACTATTTAGTGTAGGGTTTGACAGAACCTAAGCACTTAATAATAATCGTTGGGTCAATGTGTTAATCGATATGCATTGCAAAACTTTATATGGAATGACTGTCAGTATTATGCCAAATAACATCTTCTCATTATCTGAACAACATAAGAAACAAAAGTATTCAGCAGTAAAGAGAAATGCAAAATTAACCTGTGGGCAAAACTCAAATAGAGAGCACACCAACTCTCACTCCGTATGCATCCCAAAAAAACAAAAAACAAAAACAAAACAAAACTTCAGAAATCTAGGATAAGGAAAGCCTTATTATGCGAATATGGCGGTCAGTATATGGCATGGTGGTTATACGGTCATAATTAATTTAATAAATATTCAAAGTGCATCCACTCTGTGCCAAATTCTAAAGTGATAATAGTAGTTTAAGGATGGTGTAAATATATAAATGAAAGAAGGACTAACTAGGTTCTCCTAAAGAAATATGAAAGATAAGTCACTATGTCGTCTAGTTATGTAACACAAAAGTCAGAACGACATTATGACTCTTGATCTTATGATTTTTAGTGTAGTATGAAAGTGTTTGGAGAATCCAGACTGAGTCCAGAAACCTTAAATATCGTGGATCCATTTGTATTTTGTTTATTTTTACATATCGGCCTTGTTGGGATATAAATCATTTAT